TGCGAGTACTGTATAAGTGATAACTAATTGTGATTTGAACCCCGCGTTAGGAATGGATACTAAACGACGCCGAAAAGGAGATCCGGAAGATTAAGATCGAAGAGAATCGTAAGTCGAAAGACTTGAAAATAACAATCGGTGACAATAATAGGTCGAAACCGATGGACACATCGCCCGTACAGTCGCCCATACGGTCACCGATAGGTATGGCAGCAAATGATTGCCAATCGGAAGTCTATAACAGCGACAATAATAGCAATAATGCCACAAATGGTGAGTAAAAATATAATTAATAAATAAAAATATGTTATTGTTTTGTATATTTAATTAGTAATTACCCGATACAAGAGTACAAACAATAATTGTTAAGCAATTTGCCGTAAAATCTATTAAATATTATCAGTAGTTAAGAAAAATGGGAGAAATATTGCACTCATTGATAGCAAACGATAACTAAATGTACAATTATTTTCCCAGAATTTGTCTAACAATACATGTATTAAATAACATGTTTTAGTGCTTAAGTCTTAAGAAAATAGCATAAAGGTTGTGGACTGGAGTTTGTACTCCACCGCTAATACATTGTTCAATTATTATATGTTTTATATAAAGTAATACATAACTACTATTGGTATAAGTGTACCTCACTATACCTTGTGATTTATATTGTATCCAATAGTGATTATCAATTGGGTCTCCAAAAAAATCATATCCTATTTAATTGCTTATCATTTTTTGCTAATAATTTATAGAATTTATTACTTTTTAAAATTTTATTTACTTACTAATTGTTATATTTTTCATTTTAATTTATAATTACAGAATTCAATAAACTTCAGTCCAAGAAATACATGAAAATATGTTCAGTTTGTGGCGAAAAGGCTATCGGTATGTATGACTTTGCAAATATTATACAGTATATTGATTTTGAATAGATATTTGATTTCTCATAAGTGTTTCATAATATGAAAAGTGATTATAAAAAGTAAGTTTATTTTAAGTGCAAAACTGACATATGGTTGCAGTCCTTTAAGTACTTGAGGTTTGAAACAAATAGTTAATCAATTAGTTTTAAAAGTTATCTTAAGTATTACATTAATATTAAACAGGACTTTAAAATATGTAAAATTACCAGAATCAATTTCGACACAATGTACTAGATTATTAAGTAATAGTGATCTAGTTTAGTGCAACTATGTAATGTCAATTATAATATTTATGCAATACAGTAAGTTTACTACATTTGTTTACACAGATGTTTGTTTAAACATAATTAACAAATCAGTTGTATTTAGCGACAAAATTCATACCAATATTAAGCCATGAATTCTTAAACATTTGCTAATATTTTAAATATGATTTATTAACACAATTTATTAACTATTTTTATAATAGGTTATAATTTTTGTGCCATAACTTGTGAGTCATGTAAGGCTTTCTTTCGGAGAAATGCCACTAAAATTCAGGTAAAATTGTAGTTTTAATTTAATTATAATTAAAAAACATATTTATTAATTCACAATTAATATCACTATAATGTATATACAGGAGTATAAGTGTCCGTTTGATGACAAATGCAAAGTAGACATCAAGACGAGAAAGTTTTGCCGCAGGTGTCGGCTCCGGAAGTGCTATGCCGTCGGAATGAAACAAGTAATTAGTTATAAAACTTAATTATTTAAAATAAAATTATAACTAATTATAATTAATATTACTTTTCATCAAAGGAATGGATACTGAATGAGGAGGAAAAGGAGATCCGGAGGCATAAGATTGAGGAGAACCGTAGGTGTCGTCAAGTAAATGATGGCAATAGTAATCACAGCAATACTAGCAATACTTCGGGTTATAATCCACCGCCAAATCCGTTAATAATTAACGGAGCGCTCGCTTCGGAGACACAGTCTAAGCCGCCGCCGATGAGCCTATTCCCGGACAATAGCCCCACATATGACAAGTCAAATAACCACAACATTAACAACAATAATTATAATAACATTAATAGTTATAACCACAATAACAATATGATGGTGAATAATATGTATGCGGGCAACTATGCGACAAACGTGATGAAAATGATGGATCAGACAATTGATCGTATGATACGGTCGGAGAGTCCGTTCCCACCGACGGCTGTGAAGGTGTCGGTCATCAAAGGGACGGCCAATAAGTGTCCCTTTGATAACAAATGTATGGAAAACGAGATCAACAAAAGACTTTGCAGAATATGTTGCGAAACATAATTTTAATTAATTATTGTATAATTATTTATAAGTAATTAATTTTAATATACAGCACATCGAAAGTGCAATGCAGGCCATTATATGAGTTACATATAAATATGGCAATGAATATAAACAATTCCATACTATTCTTATAAGAATATTGTTAGAACCTTGATGTTTGTAAAATTATTAGGGTTAAATGTATATTTCATCAAGTACGGTCATGGTCTGGTTATGACGGGACTATTTTGTTAATAGATCCAGGTACTATTACTATCATGAGTTATATCAATGTAGTTAAAACTATTCAATGACAATTATACTACATTTTATTGGAATATTATTTCAACCTTGGTCGAAAACAAATGTAAGGGCCTAAAATGATTTGACACAAACTGACATTAATAAAATTATTATTTTTAATATATTTATCTATTTTGTAAATGTTAAAAAATGTTAAATGAATTTATTTAAATAATATAAATCAAATAAATATTGTTAAATATCTAAACATATTATGTTTATTGTCTTTTTGTCTAGATTTATTTACTTTAAAACTTATAGACTATAAGTTATAGTCATAACAAAGTCTCTTTGATGTTATTGATTAAAATCAATTAATGTGTCTGGGTAGTGGTAATAGTGATGGTGTCTATTTGAGGTGTATCATGTTCAAATCATTGTACTTAAATTACACTAATTAAATATTAGTCGCACACAAACAGGCAAATAAATGATACATGATAATATGAATACGTGTGAATGAATCACGAGAAAAAACATCATAATAAATGTCATTATAAAAAGTAAAAACATATAATACACACACATTATAACACATATAAGTAATACTTGCATAAAAGTCTCTACACATGCACTATTAAAATTCACAACATTCAGCCATTCAGTCATTGAACAGTGTCTTTGTGTTGTTTAACACATACCATATCCTACTGTATACGAGATTAATCATTAAAACCAACATCAATTAAATTGTGTGCTTCAATATCCACATATCATTAATTACAAAATCAATCATATTATCAATATTTGTGGCCCGTATTGAGCAGACCGGGAGAGCGCGCGCACCGTTCAAATGGCAATGCACCAGGCGTTTGAAAGTAGCCAGGTGTTTTCTAATACACCCCTACTGGATATGGAGGGTATGTCACACAATGTATACTGTATTTACAGTATATAATGTGATGGATATTATACGCAAACTATAGATTAAAACTAATTACAAAACTTAATTCACACACAATTCAGACGAGAATAGCGGCGATATGTCGGTGCCATTGCCAGAACCGCCGGAACCACTGCCTGAGCCGCCGCTGGTCATGGCCTACAAGGGTGTGTCCAGTGTCGAGCCCATCGGTCGGGTGCAGACACTGGTGCACGCGTGCGAGTGCACAGCCACGAGCGCCGGCTGTACGTACCCGTCGTGCGAACTCATGAAAAAAGTGATGACACATTGGTTGGACTGCGAGCACAGGGCCACACTGTGCCGGCCCAAGTCGCCCGACGAGCCCCGCTGTCCACCGTGCGAACAGTTGATGGAGTTGTGCACATATCACGCCCGCCATTGTCACCGCCGGGTCGGCGACTGTACGGTTCCGCACTGTCTGGACATTAGACGCGCCCTCCGGGAGGGCCAGCAGCGGGTCTTAACGCAACAGATCCGGCAAAAGAGATGGCGCGAAGACATCGTGAGCCGTTTGTCCGAACATTTAGCACAAGTGCAGTCAACCCGTGGTGATTCACATGTAAGTAGGCTGCCCTAGGTGGTTGTGTTGTGCTCATGTTAGTTTTGTTTGTCTATAGGCGGGTAGTGTTGGCGGTGGTAGTGATGGGTCCGTATTATATAACATGTCGGACCTGTAGTGCGATCGCTATTTTGTAAGTATTTTCTTAATGAACGGACAAATGAATTATTTATAATTATTTATAATTATTTAATTAATTTTTGAACCTTTATATTTTGTTCAATCATTTATATATCTTTTGCGTATATTTAATATTTGACTAAATGTTATTTTTTTGTAAGCATGAAATAATAATTGTTTCTAATTTCTAAATAAATGACAATTTACAATAAAATTTTCAATTTCAACCCAAATAACAATCACATGAGTTATTGATTTATAAGTTATCATGTGTTATACACTTCACCAGCCGTAGGTGACCCATATGTGACACTCGCACCTTTTTATGTGCGAGGGTATACTGTATGATGATTATTAACCAATTAGTAATAACCAAAATAATGAAACATTAAAGCTATTAACCAAAGTTAAACTATGAATTACCATAATTCATCATTACAATACATCCTATTGACTAGAATTATGTAGCCTGGATGTTAATGATAAGTTATACAAAAATTGATTGGCCGTTATTTATTGATTTTAATATTAATTGATTAATAGATTAAATTATTAATATATAAATATATCATTACAAAACAGCACATATTTAACTAATTTATAACTGAATGATAAACATATTTTGATAAGTTTTATGAACCCTTTCATTGAAATAATCGCAATACAGTACAACCTCTTTCGGAAAAACTTCTCTTAACCTCTTTATAAGAAACCTTTAAACATTTAATAAATCATTATGAATAGGGGTTGAGATTCATTTAATTGTATTAAAAAATTAATTAAAAAATTAAATATCAATATATTATACAATAAAACACTCAAAATAAAAAGATAATTAAAAATAATAATAACTCCGAAAATTCTGTATTAATTGTGAGATCTTTATAGCTATTATCTCAATAGACATTGACTTTTATTTCATAGCATTCATTGACACACATTTGCAACTCATTCACAGAATTCAATTCATTTTCATTTACAAACAAAATAATGTCAAACATTTTGACATTATTCCTGAAATCAAACACAAATTACATACAATTTGTAAATCATTTCAATGACAATAACATACTCTTCAGTTATATCTTCAGTACTGCAATCAATAGACATCATGTGATGCAATGAATCCAAAACTATAAGCCCTTTATTACTAGAGATATCATCTGCGAAGTCATCCTTTGCGGGCATTTCCTGAACAAACAATTTCATCACTAAATTAAACGAATGGACACTAATTCCCAGCGATCTCTGCCTTGAAAACGATATCATATTTTTGGTTTCATTTATTCTGTAATACATTTAAATTTATGTATTTAAAACTCTGAAAACAAAAACAATTGACAAAACAACTCAATTCAAACCCAAACCTTTTGCTGCGGCTAAATGTATGCCTGTGTTAGTGCACTCATCAAAACACGTTTAGAAAAATTAATTCAAGAATTTCACTGAATTTCATTGATTTTCACAAAAGGCCACATTTATTGCTATAACAAAACCAAACTTCAAAACTAAGTTGAGATTTAATTTTTATCAAATCCTTATCATTGTTTGCAATTCAACAAATATAACCCTCTATTCACTGTCCCATAACCGCTAATCGCTATGACCCGCACCGGCGCTGTCCTGACTGTTGGTTGAAGTGGTCTGAACGGTGAACACGTGGCCGGGCGGAGGGCTCGCGTGGTCTACCGTCCACTGCCTGGCCGTCTGATTAAACCCCTCCCTATTAGCCGTGTATTGCCGGGCGATAGTGCCGTCCGCCGGTTCGTTGGGGTTCGGGTCAGTCATCAATTGCTGAACACTGAGTAACACCGCGCCAATAGTGAGGCCCGCACTCCAGTTCCGGTGCAGTGTATCCAAATATATAGTACCATCATGGCGTATGTTTGGGTGATAGATCCGGGTGGTGAACACAATCTTAGGCGCTTTGAACGGATAGTTTTGCGGGAATGTAATTGTGATGTTAAAGACGCCGCCCTCGTAGGGAGTGTCCGGCGGTCCGTCAATACTGCCCGTCCACTGGAAATAGTCGGTGCCCACGGGTGAGGCCCTACAGCCCGGAGGCGGGTCTCTCCGAAATTCTGCCAACTCTGCACGGATCCGATTTAAGGCCATTGATTGGTGGGTTAACTCACTTCAGGGCCTCGTTTTTCACACAACAGAACCAATCGCTCGGTTTGTGTTTCAAC